CGCCGTCAGTAGTGATCAAGAAGAGGCTCTCGCTCTCTCTCTCTCTCTCGTGTTCTCCTTCTACACCTCCCTCACTCCTACGTTATTTTTCTCTCTTTCTCTCCGCCTGTTTAGCATAAGCCTTCTCTTACACCGTCTCTCTAGCAGAACCCTCCCCTTCTCCCCTCCCTAGCCTCACCCCTCGCCGTGTCTTGTCAACGTATATGGAATTCTTCGCATACTGTCGGTGTTTTTTGTGTGTAATAATAATAATAAAATAATAATAATAATAACGGTTTAATAATAGAGTTGCAGTCGGTGGCTGAAAATGTGGGAGGCAGATGTGTATGTGGGGGGGGCAGTACTGTGTGTGGGAGGGCAGGTGTAAGTGTGAAGGAGGGGGCACTGTATGTATGTGGGGGGGTGTTTCTATAGGTAGGCAACACACCTGCACTCTGCATGGAGGCAATGCTACCTGGATTTAATTTGATTAATGAAAGGCATCCTCACATTTTAAATAAAATGGGCGAGGAAAGGCAAGGAAAATCTTAGAGGGATCCACGTGAGCCTGAATCCTTATGCCAACACACACTAAGATGAGATAAATATTCAAATGTGTCCAACAAGGAGGGAGAACTGGTGGTGGATGGGGGTGAGGGGTGGGTGGGGGGTGGGTAGGGGTGGGTGGGTGAGAGTGGTGGGAGTAGTGAGTAGGGTGTAGGGGGGGAGTAGGGGTGGGTGGGGTGAGTAGGGGGTGGGGGGTGAGTAGGGTGGGTGGGGTGAGTAGGTGGGTGAGTAGGTGGGTGGGTGAGTAGGGTGGGTGGGGTAGGGGGTGGGGGGGTGAGTAGGGTGGGTGGGGTGAGGGTGGGGGGTGAGTAGGGTGGGTGAGGGGTGAGTAGGGTGGGTGAGGGTGAGTAGGGTGGGTGAGGGTGAGAGAGGGTGGGTGGGTGGTGAGTAGGGTGGGTGGGTGGTGAGTAGGGTGGTGAGTAGAGTGGGTGGATGGTGTGTATGGTGAGTGGATGTGGCACTTCTAGACGTTCAAACAGCCACACACAGGTCTTACCAGCACCTCCACCACTCAGCTAAACAACATTGTGTGTTTGTCTACTACACAACAATGTGGTGTTATTTTGGATCTCCAGTTTATACATCAACAAGAGGAAGATATTACTCCAATTATATTCTTCTTCTACTGGGATTCAAGAACCAAACAGTAAGCATAAATTAATACTGAAGGTTATATGTACTACAAAGTTAATGGCGACACTACATGATGGTACAGTCAACATCGTCTGTGTAGAACTAAATAATAATATAACACTTGTAGAAAACGTACGAAGTGAAGGAAGGTGAAGCAGAACTATTGTAGGTTAGGTTAGGTTAGGTTAGGTTAGGTTGAGAAACACAGGCGCCTCACTGATGTATCAAGGCAAGACAGGGAGCACCTCTCTACATTACCCCACCCCACCTCACCTCACCTCCAATTTCCTGGCCTTCCACTTCGGTTTCTTTCTGAGCTTCCGGGTTCCCAGATCAGCTGACTAGACTGTACCAGGTCAACACGGCTCTTCCTGCTACCCCCCCCCCAACCACCACTAGTCACCCTAGCCTCCCCTCTTGAAGGCTTCCACTGAGGTTTCATATATCTAGTAGCATCATTATAAGAGGTTTACCACTATAATGCCTTCCATGTTTACATTTTCTCCTCAGCTTTGACTCCTGGCAGCTCTACGTCTCGATTAAGGAACCTTACCTCGTCTCAGCACCCGTAGAAGAAACCAAACCAAACCAAACCAAACCAAACCTAACCTAACCTAACCTAACCTAACCTAACCTAACCTAACCTAACCTAACCTAACCTAACCTAGCATCCAAAGACGAAAAGACGGAACATATTTATGAGAACAATACTGAGAGATGACCAATCACTTCTGGGGTAACACGGACAAGTGAGTGAGGAAATGTGTGGGCAATACTCCCTCACGTGTGGGTGTAGAGGGGATGGACGAGGAACCTGAAGGAGTCGTTGTCACCTTCGTCGTCGTCGTCTTCACTTGTTGACGTGGAGGCCAGCAGTCATCCCTCGCCTTGTATATATGTGTATCATCTACTTATTCTCTAACTGACCTTAATCACCAGAGGTAATACTTAGTTCTGTGACATAATATTGACGCCGTATGTGTGTGTAAATAACGGTAATGAGAGAGGGATGATGATGAGGAGGAGGAAGAGGAGGAGGGGATGATGATGAGGAGGAGGGAGGAGGAGGAGGAGGAGGAGGAGGAGGAGGAGGAGGAGGGAGAGGAGGAGGAGGAGGAGGAGGAGGAGGAGGAGGAGGAGGAGGAGGGAGAGGGAGAGGGAGAGGAGAGGGAGAGGGAGAGGAGAGGGAGAGGGAGAGGGAGGAGGAGGAGGAGGAGGCAATACATACATACATCAGGAAGACTAAGATACATGTACTGGAGGATGACGTACGCGAGGCTGAGGACAACTTGGAGTGTGAGCCACGAGACCCAACACAACACTGACTGGTGCAGCGCCCCAGTAGTTCCCTCCACACCAATGAGAGGAAACATTACAAACATCTTAAGACATGTTGAGGTTCGCTGAGAATAGTTAGAGAGAGCAGCGTGTGTGAGGGAATATAACAGTGACAGGACTTCCTAAGGGGAGTGTGTGTAGGTGGACTCCTGCGAAAAGCACTCGAAAAAACAGGGTTGTTTTTATGACAGGTTGACAGTAGTGATGACAGGCAGAAGGAGTCATGGCAGCTGTTCCGGCTGTCAGCGGGATGAACAGTACGACACATGCGGGTGGGGGAAGGTGGTGGGGGTGTCTACAGCTGACCCACCTCCGCCTCGCAACAAATTGCTACCACTTCATAACACCTCCACTCAGCCCCCAGCCTCTTCCTTCACTACTGCCACTGCGCCTCATGCCCACCACCACGGATGTCCCTCCAGGTATAACCATTGTTACTTCCTCCATCACCACCATCGATGATGTCTACCACTACCAACATTACATCACCCACAACCCCGGTGAGCCAACCTGACCCAGTCAGGGGCTAGTGACCCTACAACACCACCTTCACTACCTCATAACACTGTTTACTACCATTAATGTCTTTGAAAAAATAAATAATAATATATATAAATATAAATATAAATATATATATATATATATATATATATATATATATATATATATATATATATATATATATATATATATATATATATATATATATATATATATATAAGATAAACCACCTTCTTGAGACCTGAGGCTATGAATTATGTCATGTTTCTGGTACATGCAGCGAGGGAGGGAAAGAGGGAAGGGGCAGCCTGCTGCCTGTGCCCCCGCCAGGGATGACCCACAATGACCAGCACAAGTCCTTGACCCTGTACACGAGCCAGACAATAAAACAGGTCATATATGGAGGTATAAGTTAGAGTGCGTGGTGAAAGGGCAAAGTCCATTAGGGCGACAGCATCCCCAAGACGCGTGTGGGCAATATCTCAAGGTGAGGGGGAGAGGCGGCCCTCCCCTCGTGCTGCGCCGCCTTTGTGCTCCCGCCCAGGAAGAATATGAAGTAAGTCATTAAGTGCCTTGGGTGGGTTTTATCCCAGGCGGCCGCCATTTCTCCCCGTCATCAGCCAGGAGTCCCCGTGGTGGTGGCGGGGGTAGTGGTGACGGGGGCGAGGGCAGTGGTGGTGGGGTGGGATATATGCAGTCGCGGTGGAGAAGGTTATTCACCATCCCTCCCTCAACGCACCAAAACTTACCAACTATTGTAACATCACTGATAAATAATTCTAAACGTGTGTTGTGTGAGAGAGACGGAGGTGATGATGGAGGGCTGACACCTTCATCACACTCACTGAAGGAAGAGGTGGCAGTATGAAGCTCAGTCGAGGGGAGGGGAGGGGAGGGGAGATTGAGGCGAGCCCGCTGCCCTTTGCCTGGTTCTGCCTCTCATAATTCACATGATAAATGTTATCTGTCAGGGCGAGTTACCCATCAAGACGTGGAGGCGGAAGGTCTCAATGGTGGTCATGATATACTGTCGCACCATAAAAGTGAAACCGGTCATTTTACCTTTTTTTCCACAGCTAACAGAAGACATTTTTTCTCACAGTTGAACTCCTCCCTGGCTGCTGTCATATAAGAACAAACAAAAACATTTACAGGTCATTCAGTCCCTTACATTCGTCATCATCTCTCTCTCTCTCTCTCTCTCTCTCTCTCTCTCTCTCTCTCTCTCTGATGGGTGCAGAAAACAATCTTGCCCTCCGCAGGATTCGAACACCACACTACTCTTCGGATGTCAAGCGAGGACACTCCCAACGAGGGGCACAAGTCATACCCATACCCGTGACACTCTGGGGTGAAGATGACTACACTGAGGGGCTGGTGGCAGTGTGGAGTAAGACACTTGTCAGGTCGGCGTTACGTTACAGGTGTCAGCATGTCTCGTGGCGTCTTCAACTTGACGGCCTCAACGTGAGTAAACTTAACACTATTAACTTGTGTTTTGAGTCGATCCTTGTGACCCCACACCAACACAGGAGTGAGAGAGGAGGGTGGTGGGGTGTGTGTGAGTGGAGTGTGGCAGGGGTGTGTAGAGGTGGAGTGGCAGGGTGTGTGAGGTGGGTGGGGTGTGAGGTGGGTGGTGGGGTGTGTGAGGTGGGTGGTGGGGTAGGTGGTGGAGTGTGTGGGGTTGAAGTGTGTGGGTGGTGGATAACACGGGGGAGGTGGGGTGGAGGTGCCACACCTTGGTGGGTCGGGCCATGCATCACTGGGCTTATCCAGGGAGATTAATGGCCGTGGTGGGCTGGTGCCACGCTCCCCGTCACCAACCCGCCTCTCACACTCCCTCATCCCGCCAACAATGTCATTTCGGCGGCAATATCTCACTCTCCTTACTCTACTGACCCTCACCGCGCTCTAATATGTCGGCAGAGAAATAAATTGTTTAATTAATTACCACAACTGACAAGTGGTGGCGAGCAACTTACCTGTTCGTATTTCTCGAGCTCTTGGTGGTATATCTGTCTGATCTGTGAGAGCTTAGCACGGTAGTCTGAGTGCTCGATGGCCGAGTCTCCGGCCCCGGCGGCGGCGGAGGCGTTGGCCGCGGCGCCGGCTCCTCCACCCTTCTCTGGCCCCGCCACACCCTCTGCGATCAGCATGTTGTCCAAGCGCATCAGCTGGGGGTCCGGCGGCTCCTCTTCCTGAGTGTTTCGCAGCGACAAAACTGAAAGTAAACAACAACAATTAATAACCTTGCAGAACCCTGTGTCCACCTCACTACTGAGGGTCGAGTACCATACAAGTTGCAAATCCTAGCAATTTGTCAACATCTTAATGAGAGGGAGCAACAAGTGACCCACAACACAGCAGCCAGAAGGTAAACAAAAACATGAGCATGCAAGAAGTCACCAAGGTGGTCATCCTCGCCGGTGTCTTACAACTCTCCTGATGCACCACCACATAACAACACACGTGTGAGCATCTGAGTATGTTGACACATCACAACACCACACAACTGTTAGACCTACCTGAGGATCAACCTGTAGTCCTCCACACCTGACGCGGATCACCTCAGTTTCTTTAATTAAGTACAACACCACACGCACACTGTCACGATTTTGGATTTCTTCAGCCAGATGGGTGAATTATCCCTCAAAAGAAGTAGAGAAATTAGAAAATAATATAACTCATTACTGGTGGAGTGTGGTTGGTGTGGCTGGGGGCGGCTGTGCGTGCTGTGAGCGCCACGAGTTTGATGGATCAGGTGGTGCACTGCAATAGCCAACCGCCGGGGCCTAAAATTACTTTATATAGATAAGAGTGCAGCCAACACGAGGGTGACCCCACACTACTGTCTGACCGGGAGGAGCTGCTGCCTCTTACCTCCTCTCATGTTGGAAATAATCAAATAAGACCAAAACCCAAGACCATAATGATGTTGCTGGCATAAAGCACGACCCAGGTGAGGACCCCCCGGCCCCGCCACCAGTTCCCAGGAAGGGGCCCCACACACGTGAAGAATGACGCCCGCTCACGCTACCTTCACCAACACTCCTCCTACAGCTATTTTACCCACCAGCAACCTTCTGCTCTTAATATTTCATCTACGACGATAAACACATATTTCTCACATAAAGTCAGAGGCTGGCTAGTGCCACCACCACCACCCAGAGATGTACACCGCTTCACTCACCACCACAAGTGGACATAGCTACACTCACCATCACCCAATGGTATAATTACACAGCATTACCCTACAGCCTCACAACAAAAACAGTAACATTAACGGTGATTTTTTTTGCTTCTAATGAACAAAATAAAAGTCAGACGCCAATATAGAATTTCCAAGTAGGACCAAAAGATGTGGGGTGTATAGTGGGGACGAGATGACCCCAGCTGACCTCCCTCACCACCTTCATCCCTGACCATGAAAGATTAACCAAGTGACATCCCACAGACAGAGTTTCCATGAAAAAGCCCGAACAGGTGAGCAGGTGATTACAGGTGGACGAGGTCAGGGAAGGTGAAGGGAGGCAGGCAGGCAGGTAGGAGGGTGCGCGTGTCTCCCCCCTGGTTAATAAGTTTAATAAGGCGGACAATGACTGCGGGGCGGCAAATTAGAGGGCGGGAGAGGCCAGCTACAACGTATTGCTGTGTGCATCTCCCTCACGGCTCAGGACCTCCACACACGCTAACACAATCTCTTCCAACCTTCTCTGATTTATGGCAGCTTTATAAACTAACTGTAAATGTTATTTTATTGACGGTACAAGTCCCAACTGTCTAACATGTAACATCTGCTGCCCCAACAACACAACTTTGGTCCATGTAACTTAATGACTACACACATACACATGCACGCACACACAGGATCAAAGACTCGTGCGTATACATGGCAACGCACATACAAGGACACGAGCGGCCAGTTTCATACACGCGCGCGCACACAAACAGATCAGACCAGGTAACCCGAGACAGGGGTGAGACACCAGAGTATCCTGGCAACTACAGGTACGACACGAAGCTACAGTGGCTGGTGACACCGTGGTCTGATGACAACACCTGGCGGTACAGGGATGTTGTGCGGTGATCCCTCCCTCACAGTGCACATAGCCCTGGACACACACACAAACACACACACACACACACACACAAACACAAGCACAAACACACACACACACACACACACACAAAATTGCAAGGAGTGAACAATTACCTGGAAGAGTGTAAGTAATTGAGGACGGTGAGACACAGGTGCGGTGGTCACCTGGCCTCCCGTACAGGTGTGAGGGCGGCCACACATAACACTACACCAAGACAGATAATGGGACAGAGAAACAAGTACAGGGAGGAGGAGGAGGAGGAAGAAAAAGAGGAGGGGAGAAAGAGGAGGAGGAGGAAGAGGAGGAGGAAGAGGAGGAGGGGGAGGTCGTGGAAGAGAGAAAGGGAAGTAAGAGGAGAGGAGGGAGAGAAGAGGAAGAGGGAAAGGAAGAAGAAAAGAAGGGGAGAACTGGAAGAAAAGGAGGGGAAAGAGGAAGAAGAGAAACAAGTGTAGGAAGAGGAGGAAGAGAGAGGCTCCCTGGGTGACACAGGAGGAGGGTGAGCGTGCTGGAGGGCCATAGTTAACACGCCTCCCAGCCCACCTGGTGACCCACCTGCTCCACACCCATACCTTACCCACACCACCACCAGCTCCACACCCAAACCTTACCCACACCTGCTCCACACCCATACCTTACCCACACCACCACGGCACCTCATCACACAAACTGTACTCCATTATGCTCTTACACTGCCCCTCTCCTCTCCTCTAACCTAACCTAACCCAACCTGGCCTATTAACCTAACCTAACCTAACCTACTTTTTCTAAAGCAATCTAACTAATCTAATTTTATCTTGCTACACACACACACACACACACACACACACACACACACACACACACACACACACACACACACACACACACACACACACACACACACACACACACACACACACACACACACACACACACACAATTATCCCTTTCGGTGTTTTAAAACTAATGTCTAAATATGATGATTCACAGCTAATTTCCCACCATTCTACAGCCTTTTAACACCCCCCGCCCCCAAGCCCAGCAGAGCCCGGTACTTAACAGTCATTCCAGGTAAACGACTACGCCAGTGTTTCATGAATAACGAAAGCAAGTGAAAACAATTGATAAAATGTGCATGTTTTATTTTTTTGGTTTTTGTCCATTTTTAACGTTACATTTGGCGCCGTTGGGAACCATGTATTAAATTAATGTTGAAAATAGATTGGGCATAGTCAAACTCAAATTGCTTTTATACACCATTTCAATGTGTGTTCAATTTTATCTCTACACACACAGCTTCAATTTAAACCAACAAAGTTATATGACCTAAACCAAATATATATATATAAAAAGATGCAATAATCCGCAAATTTTAAGATAACCTTTTATGCTAGAGCTGTAAGTGACCTCTCTCCCCCTACCCCACCCACTCAATCAGCCTGGATAATACACTTCCCCTCCCTCTCTTATCCCTGTGGACATCACCCCCCGCAGGTGCCCTCTCTCTCCCTCACCTAGGTTATCACCCCCCCTCCCTCCTCCCATGTTGTTGGGGGTTGTGTACATGTCAACTTTATGGTGGTTGGGTTGCCCCGCCAATTGGATGGTGGCGCACTAGACGACCCTCACACCTGACTGACCCAGCTGACCAAACCCATTAACACACACACACACACACACACACACACACACACACACACACACACACACACACACACACACACACACACACACACACACACACACACACACACACACACACACACACACACACACCACAGCCTACTTAGCTCTTTTGATAGACGGAATATGATTTTCAGTTCTCATACAGCCATGTCAGAGAACTACAAAAAATAGCCGAACCGAAAGAGGCGGGGAGGAGGGGGATAGGGGAGGGGTGAAGGTAGAGGAGGAGGGGGAGGGGAGGGGAAGGAGGGAGAAGGGAGAGGGGAGGAGGGTGAGGTCATCACCCTAACTCACCTGTCCTCATCACAACACCCTAACTCACCTGTCATCACCCTAACTCACCTGTCCTCACCCTAACTCACCTGTCATCACCTTAACTCACCTGTCATCACTTAATCCATCACACATGAAGGGCACAAACCATTATCCAAAACCTGGGCCAAGAATAATCAGCCGCACGCAAGCTCTCATGTCGGCCCCCTGACTGATGTGGTTGCTGACTACAGAAAAGGAGAGTGAGGGGAGTGAGGGGGGAGTGGGAAGTGAGGGGGAGTGAGGTGAATTGGGGGAAGGAATGGAGTAAAAGAAGGGGAATGGGGAGAAGGGAGTGGGGTGGGAAGTGGGGTGATTAAGGGGAGAATACACAACAGACTAAGACACGGTACACGGGGTGGTGGTGGGGAAGGCTCCCACCTTAACAGGGATGTGGCACAAGGACCCCCTCCTAAGGTCAGGTGTTGCGTCACTATATTACCCCAGCCACCAGGTTAAGGCCACCAGGTAAGTCAAGGTCACTCCACCAACCTGTCTGCCTCACTCACTCCTCGACGAGTCTTTGATCCGAGACACATAACTCCTGACCGCCATATTAAATTACTCTCGATAACCTCAAGCTGTGCCAGTAGTCGATGGCGTGCAAGAATGTCACCACACTGGCACCCTTCATCACCACTGGCACCCTTCATCACCACACTGGCACCCCCTCATCACCACACACTGGCACCCTGTCACCACACTGGCTTCATGCCACTGGCACCCCCACCACATGGCCCCCTCCTCATCACCACATTGGCTTTTCATCACCACACTGGCACCTTCATCACCACTGTCACACCCTTCATCACCACTGTCACACCCTTCATCACCACACTGGCACCCCCACCACGCTAGCACCCCCCCTCATCACCACACCGGCACCTGGCGACACCACCTGACCAACACCCGTTACCGTGTTTAGTGTCGTCAGCGTCACCATCCACACACTTCACCTCTCCTTCACCCCCTTCACCACCACAGCTCATCAGTCCAGCATCCCTCTCCACCACCACACGTCAGCCCCTCCCTGACGTCATAAACGGGGGAGAGTTTACACCGCGGTAAGGATAAATCTCTCATTGTCCAGTTGGTGTAAATCTCAATAATGTAAGTGGTCGGCCATTACCCAGCGTGATGCCCC